CACCAGTGGGATGGACTGGGAGGGACTGGGATGGACTGGGAGTGAGGATGGGGATGGAGATGGGATAGGGATGAGGATGTGGATGGAGATGGGGATAGGGATAGGGATAGGGATGGGGAGCGGGAGCAGGAGCAGGATAGGGATAAGGATCGGGATAGGGATGGGGAGCGGGATCAGGATAGGGATAAGGATCGGGATGGGGAGCGGGATAGGGAGGGGGAGGGGGATGGGGATGGGGTGCCCTCGGGGCAGAGCCGCCGTGGCCGCAGGGCACTGGGCTGAGCTGGCTCTGCCTGAGCGCAGGGGGAACAGTTCACCCTCAGCCACACACGGAGCGAGTGAAAATGTCATAGAAGCACGTGAAAACATGATCAGAAAACTCTATCAATTTTTCCTGGTTTATTCACGGTGAGGTGCTGGCGGGAGCACCTGTGTGCTGCAGGCAGCTGCAGCACGGCCCAGGTTCACTCGAGCTCAGGAAAATGTGGGCTCAGCTGCGTTGGTTTTACAGGGTGAAATGTGAGTGATACTGCTCTAAACGTCAAGTGTCAGAACCTTCCAAGAGATGTGTGTTAACACCACAGGCCAGAAGAGTGATAGCACCCTACAAATTGCTCTTTGAAGTGTCAGACCCCTTCAAAAAGAAGTATTTTAAAGTCACGGTCCGTAACAGTGATGCCCCCATAAAAACTGCTCTTTCAAGTGTCTTCCAAGAGGAATATTTTAAACTCACAGCCCATAGCATTAATACCACCCTAAAAATTCTTTCAAGGGTCAGAGCCCTTCAAATAAAAATGTTTTAAAATCACAGCCCGCATTCCATTTTTCTAAGTAAAAGCTAAGGTTTGGAACCATTAAACATTGTAGTTGAGGGGGGAAAAAAAAGACTCCCAAGACTGAGAAATGGAAGCAGATTTTTCCCTGTAGTAACTGCAAGCAATATCTCAAACTCAGCAATCTTAAACCATTGAGCTATCTAGTATGAACGTGCTAATTAATCAATTACTACCCAGCAATGTGCCATTTATTTACTGTAATGTACTACATGAGGGTAGAACCAGTAATTATTAATCATCACCAGCAACACATTTGACTCAAGTTCATCTTCCTATAATTAACAGAGCGTATAGTTAGTTTTAATACCGTTATTAGTGGCAATGACGAGGATAGAAAAGTTGGAGTTAGGTATTGTGGGTCACTATGGTGAAGGGTTGAACTGAAGTATCACCTTAAGAGTGATGTTGTGCTGTTGTATTTCATGGTCATGATAAGTTAAATTACATTAATGAGGATTGTCAGTGGTTGTAGTTCCTCATCTTTGGTGGTGCTTTGCTGTAGCAAAATCTGCATCTAAAATGAAATACACCATAACAGGGAGTGCCTCAGGCCTGTGGTATCCCAGTGTGAAATGGGAAGAGATGTCAGGTTATCACTGTGAAATGGGGAGGACACTTAGTCTTAAAAATCCAGGGATTTGATATCTTAACCTAGATGGAAGGAAGGTGGGGAATTCTCCTGAACTGCCCATTTCCCTGAGATCTTCTAGGAAATAGGTGGGTGAATATCTCAGAAGACATCTGGAAGTGTTTCTGCTTAACTGCTGTTTTGCTCTGTGCTCAGAGTTGTCCTAAATTTGGAAATGTGGCTGAATGTCTTTTTTCCCCCTTTCATCCAGGGCTTTAAACCCAACTCCCTAAAACAGGAGACCCAGTTTCCAGTACCATCAAGTGCAGGTAATGTTCTCCCACGAGGATGACCTGAAATGGTCTGTGCTACAGACACTACATCAGCTCTTGCACAAACAAAATCCACAAGGCACTGTCAGCTGAACACACCTCTCCATTTCCAGCTCCGGGCACCAGGAGCACAAGTCCTGCATTTTATCTCTCTGCATCCTCTGCAGTTGCTGCCAGACCCACTGCCCCTCACGTCCCCCCACAAGCATTCCTCCACCCCTTGCAGCTGAGGAACCAGCTTGGAGGTTTGCCCAAGTTTGGCAGTTTTGGGGGCAGTTTCTGCTGAGCAGCCACACCTGGGACACCTTTTATCTTGTCCCTTCGCCCTTGCTCTGTTTTCTTCCCAGTCTGCCTCATGTTCTGACATTCAAACTACAGTTCAACAACTCTGCTGCTCCTTTACTGACTGTAAATAAATGTTCCAGTTGTGTAACACAAGTATGACAATATTTCTGACCTTTTTTAAACATAATAATTTCATTGTACATCTGCTGTGTTCCTAAAAAACCTCCATTTTTTGGCAGCAGCAGCATGGGAGTGGAATGTGAGAGACTGCAAAGCAGTTTCAATCCTTCCATCAGCTCAAGGCTCAGAAGTGTTAATAGTAATTAAAAACTTTTTTTTTCCCCCTCAAAATACATTTCACACTTTGCACATACTGAGAAATCTCTCTCACCGCAGGAACTTTCAGGTTACTCGTTTCCTGCAAAAACAGGTACAGTTTTCTTTTGTCAGGATAGAACAAAGCCATAAGGGAAGTGCAGGTTTCATTTCCTCCTAGGACACTGCAGTCTATTAAGTGCCAGTGAACTAATGAGCCTCTCAGACCTTATGTTGTTCTGGCTTGGATCAAGGCTTCCTTTCCCTTAACCCTTCACAAACTAGCTGCAACTGCATCCATTGGCTAAATTCCATGTTAGAAAACTGTGTGGGCTCTGGTAGATCCAAATCCAAAAGCATATTGAGATTACACATAAATTAAAGGAATAAACCCAAGAATTGAACAGAAATACTCATTATTTGAAACAGGATCAGAGTCTATGCAAACATCCTCATCTGCAGTTAATTACTTTGTGACCAAAATAGAAGAGAAAAAGGCTACACAAAAGATAATGGATGAAGCTAAGAGATGAAAGACTCGGCATCAAACTGGGCACTGATCTGCTGCAACTGCTGAGACACAGTCAGCATTTGTCTTACAGCTGGGTTTGCCTGAGCTTTTGGGAAGTAATCTCAAAAATATTTGGGATAATAGTATCCAATAGTGTATCCAAAAGAGTACAGTATCCTATAGCCTTTTATAGTAAAAATCAGAATATCTTATCTGTTGGGATATTAGAGATTTGATAAAGATCATTTTACAAATGCAACTGTTGTCCTTTAACAAAAATACACAGAAATTGTGACCAAAAAAAGTCATCAGTATCCAAAATATAGCCGGACAGACCTGCAAAAGTCAAGGAATCCTGGGAATCATAGTGCAAGGATAATTCTAATGGTCCTTGCAGGATCTATCAAGGAATCAGTGCTATTACTGTTGTAATTATTATTACAGTCATAGAATCCCAGAATGGTTTGGGTTGGAAGGACCTTAAAGCTCATCCCCTCCCACCCCCTGCCATGGGCAGGGACACCTACCACACCATGCTCCAAGCCCCATCCAACCTGGCCTGGAAGGCCACAATGAGGTCACCCCAAAGCCTTCTCTTCTCCAGGATGAACAATCTCAATTCTCTCAGCCTTTCCTCACAGGAGAGATACTCCATCCCTCTGATCATAGCATCATAGTACGTTAAGGGGTTGGAATGGACCTGGAGATGATCCAGCCCCAACCCCTGCCCTGGGCAGGGACACCTCCCACCAGAGCAGGTTGCTCAAGGCTTTAGCCAACCTGGCTGTGAACACTGCCAGGGTTGGGGCAGCCACAGCCTCCCTGGGCAACCTGGGCCGTCATCTTGATGGCCTTTCCTGGACTTGCTCCGACAGGTTCAACACTGGCCCTACCTCCTGCCAGGAGCCTGTATGGCAGCACACAATCTGTTGGAAAGCAAATTTAGGATCTCAGGGCTCTTTCTGGTGGCATCTGATCTCCTGCTCTAATTTAGTGAAAGTGTCACCCCAGTAATGAGATTTCAGAATCAAATGCTGAACTTCAGCAACAACAACAGGAACACGAGGAGCATTTAGGATAATCCTCTGCTTTCCAACAGGTTCTTTTGGGGCAAGAAGGGACATTCTCAACACCACACCCAGAAATCCTGGAAATGCACTGTCTCAGCTAATACTGGAACCCAAGAGGAAAAGCAAACCTGTTCTTACAGATGAGGATGCAATTCCAGCAGCATAAGGAATGAGGCACTTAAACATTTTCTGTTAACTATTCTTTCAGAGCATCTGCTTCCTAAGGTTGCTCCTCTCCCAATTTCAGTTTGGTTTCTGCTGTAACTCCTAGAATTGCTTCAATATCTCGAATTGCCATCTGTAAGAAATTCCAGGGATACAAGTTATTTAATGGGCATCATAATACAATCCAGCAGCCACTGAGCACAGCTGGCAGAGCTTGCCTGGAACAGGTAAGCAGTGTTATAGGGGACATGAGGCACCAATTAAATTTACTATTACTTTAGGGACAGTTGGGGGAATTATTAGTAAATATGTACAAATCTCAGGTAAATAAAACCACGACTCCTTGCAATTTGTGCTTCTAATTACCTAACAGGTGTTTTATTTCACATATGTAAATCATTGGTGAAGAGTTTCCTTTATATTTTTTCCTTCAGTGGTTGCTTTTCACTCCCTCACATTGGAAAAAAAAAAGGGATTTGTTTGTTTGTTTATTCTGTAACATGTTGAAATTTAATTATGTCTTCTCCAAAATCTGTCACTTCACACTCTGCTTGTCAGAGGAAAATCTAGGCAGAGTGGAAAGAATCTGACAGAAATTCTGTGACACAATTTATATCAGAGTGGAAAGAATCTGATAGAAATTCTGTGCCATGATTTAAGATACAAATCTAACCCAGTGCCCCTTCACCTTCCACCAAACACTTCCAGACAGGATCTTAGAAACTTTTTATGGAGTTAAAGGTGATGAAGCTCAGCAGAATTCATAGAATCAACCGAGTTGGAAGAGACCTCCAAGCTCATCAAGTCCAACCCTACTGTGGTCACTAGCCCATGGCACTAAGTGCCACATCCAGTCTCAGCTTGAAAACCTCCAGGGATGGTGAATCCACCACCTCCCTGGGCAGCACATTCCAATGCCTGAGCACTCTCTCCATAAAAAGAAATTTCCCCCCCCCGGGAAGCTTAGCAATTCTCTGGAATCAAAAAGCAGCATTGGAAGGAGTTCCAGGCACAGGGTTGGATTCAGTAGTGCTAGAGGAGCTTTGGAGGAAAGGTTGGCACACCTGGGGGGACATCCAGCCCCTGGGCTTTGTCCTGGAGCCTCCTCCAGCACACAGATAGGGACGTCCAAAGAGCAGAGGAACAAAACTGACTTGGGACATTGATGGATAGGGACTAATGGATTAAGTACTCAGCTGCCTGCTTAGAAGAAATCAGTGTTAATAATCTAAGGAGCTATTATCAACTGAGAAGTTTGTTTCTAATTTAAGAGCCTTCCCTTGATGGTTGTCCCTTTAAAATAAACCAGGCAATTGTGACAGAAGTGTGTGAGGCAGTGCCAACAGCTCCTTTTGCTCTTCCAAAGGCCACTCAGGAGCAGGAGAGTACAAATAATTTCGCGCTCAAGTATGTCTCTTTTTCAAAGAAAAAAGTTTCAAACTTAAATTTAACTAACAGGTTCGGTGGGAGACTGACTCCACTGCCCCAGACACTGTAAAACACACACTGCTAACGAGAAAAAAGGGATGGTTTAGCACTTGCTTATGCTCCAGCATGAGGTATTTGCAGGCCTCGTACAGAAATTAACCAGGATCGTTAGTTAATTAACACCTCACCTTAAAATTGGTCTCGCCTTGCGTATTAGGTGCTGATATTTCTTGATGGATGATGAAGAGATTGCGAGCAAAGGTCAGGAGGACCCCCTGGAGATCCTCTCCGATTGTTCTGTTAATGATAGCCAAACAAATGAGTTTACCAATGATTCCCTTTGCATGCTTAAAAACAATCACCCTCGCGTCGGGCCTGCCTGGTGATGGGGTTTAATGAGGATTTTCAATCTCACAAGGTGGCAATCTGCAGGCAGATATGAAAGATGAGGCTCCATTTTAACTTGTCAACAGAAAGGATTTGTGTAATAAATAAGTTTTATTAATCAACTTAGCAGGAGGAAGCAGAGAGGTTTCAGCTACTCCAAGTAAGAGGCTACTGCTGAGTGAGGGCTGAGACAGCAGCACTTGAAACACACAGAGTAGTTAGGAAAAACTGTTGCTTCAGCCTAAAATTTGTCAAAGACACCAGAAATTTTCAGCAGTATCAGCATTTCTTATACTGTTGTAGGTTTGGGGCTTTGGTTTCCCAGTGGATTTACAACCTTATGGAACAGGGAGTAACACTGAGGAATAATGTACCCAGTTACTGGAACTAATACCAGATCTCTGATGCAATACAATGGATAATTCTCAGATATTTCAGGAATTTTGGGGGTTTATAGGCTCAAACTGTTCAATTCTTGAACATATTTCCAAATCCAGACTGAAACGACATTGAAAATCTGATGGCAGAGAAATCTGGATTCAGGCTGTGTGGCAGAGATATTTGAGAGGATTCTGGTAACACTCAGGCTGGTGATGCAAGATGTTATGCCCAGTAAAGGAAGCTTCCTGCTGCGTTCTGGAGCTGAATCAGCTCCTGGAGAGGTGTGAAAGGAGGGAGGAGGCTCCATGGCTCCGCTCAGGATCATGGAATGAAAGACCTCACCTTTCAGCAGCTCAGGGCAGGCTGAAGGAATCACAGCCCTAGAAACAATCTTTAGGATTCATTTAGTCCACTCCCAGTGCTGGGACGGATCAATGCTACTTACATCATCCTGACAGAGCTTTGTCTAATCTGTTCCTCAGCGACTGCACTGAACAATCTAATTAGTTCTTCACTTCCCTCGTGATCAGAAATTTTTCTTATGCTCAACATGAATCTTCCTTGCTGCAAGTGAAGTTCATTTCTTCTTGCCCTACTACCAAAGACATGGAAATCAGATTTTTCCTCCCTGCAGAGGCTTTTTATGTGCTTGGAGATCATCATCAGTTCTCCCTTCTGTCTCCTCCTCCTTTAGTCTTTCCATGTCAGTCATGTTCTCTAGACCTCTAAACATTTTCACTGCCTCCTCTGAGCAGAACAGAAGGATTACTCCAGCATCTCCCAGGATATCCTGTTTACCTTTCTTTCCTAGGATCATGACCTGGTGGCTTGCAGGCAGTTTGCCTCCCAGATCCTGTTGTTCCTCACATTCAGTACTGCTCTCTAAATGTAATTTCTTGCCCCTGGTTCCAACCAAATCTAATTCTATTTTTTATACTGTTCCTTCAATTTGTAGAGATCATTTCCAATTCTATTCCTGCCCTCCAGAACACTTGTTATCCAGGTCATTAATGGAATAGCTCCAGCACCAATGGAGTACAGAACAGACTGAGAGGAGGGTCAGCCTCTCACTCCTACTTACTCCTCACTCCTCCTTACATCCTATTTCGGCAGGGAACTTTGCACAAATTCCCTCTGAGGAGGTTTTCAGTCAGTGTGTAGTAGATTTGTGCAGATTCTACTTTCTCAGACTTCTTAGGAGAGGTTCCTGTGTCTAAAGAGTGACTAAACTGTTCTGCTGTTGCCTGACTGCTGCTCAGCACTTTGTGAATAATATAACACAGCACTAAACTTCACTTCTCTTTGCCTCATGGAAATCAAGTGTTTAATAATGTTGCCTGTAAAAGTAAGCTGAGCTAATCCATGTGAGATATTGCTCCTGACAGTGAATCCAGGCTCTCCTGAAGCCAATTCCAGCAGGTCCTGAGCCTGCAGTGCACTCAGCCTTTGGGCTAAGCACATTCCTCTACTTCTTTTATTACTCAAATACTTAAAGCCTCCCTGAAACTTCTCAATCTTACAAGTCGTAACACTTTTCTGAGCAGGAGGTGACAGTCAGCAATTTCCAGTGTGTGGTGTTCAGGCTGCTTATTCCTTTCCTGACCTTTGGCAGAGCAGGAGACAACACAAACTCCAGAGTCACTCCCTGCACATCCAGGGTATCTGTCACCCTGGGGAAGTGCCAGTCCATACTTACATCACTCCCAATCTGTATTGCTTCTGGTCATCATACAATAGAAAAACTGTTCCCTGTTTTTCCTGTTGAATAAAATGGCAAAGTTGCTTTAATTAGTCTTAAAATAGTGATAATTGCAATAAATGCATGGCACAGTAAATCCCCAGAGCTAAGAAGGGCTAGTTTAGAATTGCATGGAAGGGATTATTGCTCAGTGGAAGTGGTTTATTGCTCCAGCTTATTGTAGAGAATACAACAAATACAGCAGAGTATTCAACAGCAAATATTGTGGTTCCAAAGCAATAAGAGATGGGCACAAGTACCTTAAAAATTCTCTCCTTAAAGTTATTGTCAGCAAGAGACAGGTTAATCTCTAAAAGCCTTACACACACTTACATTTAAACACAGAGAAAAATGTTTATTTTCCTGTCCTTAAAGCCTGTCCCTAACCTCAGATACACATGGGACATCAGCTTTGAATAACCTTCTGCTCTGGGTCATCACAAGTCTCAGAGTGGCAACAGGGAAGGTTTAGACTAGACATTAGGAAAAGTTTTGTCATGGAAAGGGTTGTAAAACATGGGAACAGGATACACATGGAGGTGGTGGAGACACCATCCCTGGGGACATGGTTTTCCTGTGAGGTTGCCCACAGGTTGCCCAGGGAGGCTGTGGCTGCCCCAGCCCTAGTAGTGTTCAAAGCCAGGCTGGCTGAAGCCTAGAGCAGGCAGGGGTTGGGACTGGATACTCTCTGAGGTCCCTTCCAGCCCCTCAGCATATTATGGTAACTAGGATAACATTAGTGGTGAACATGCTGGTGGTGCTGAGCTGGTGGTTGGACTCAATGACCCTAAAGATCCCAATCTTAATTCCATGATTGACATTGCTCTAAGTGGTTTTACTATATTAGAATTTACATACAAAAATTCTGCAGAGCAAATACCACATTTTCTCATCTCTCCCATCCATACCTGGATGTCAAATCCAACCCCATGAGCTTTACACCTCTGGAGGAGAAGGTTGTAGTAGATCCCTGAGAGGTTGGAGTGCCTCAGCTGAGTGCTCATCACTGCACACTGAGTACTTCTTGGGGGAGGCTAGAGAAAACAACACAGAATTCATGATTTTCATACCAGTTTATATCAGAACCCAACAATTTGCCATCTAAATTGCTGACTTTTCCCAAGGGCACAGAGTGATAGCACAAGGGGAATGGCCTCAAGCTGAAGGAGGGAAGGTTTAGGTTAGATATTAGGAAGAAATTCTTTACTATAAGGATGGAGAGGCACTTGTATGTTGCTCAGAGCAGTTGTGGCTGCTCCATCCCTGGGAGTGTTCCAGGCCAGGCTGGACAGGGCTTGGAGCAGCCTGGGCTAGTGGAAAGTGTCCCTGCCCATGGCAGGAGGTGGAACATGATGATCTTTAAGGTCCTTCCATCCCAAACCATTCTGGGATTCTATGATTCTATAAGTGGCTTTTTGCCAGTGAACTCATCTAGGTGTGGAGTAAGATTCCCTTTGGAGGACTCCTGTTCATCACAGTGTTTGTTGGACACAGGCTTTTCCACAGAGCAAAATGAAATCCTATCTGGTTGGGAGGAACCTTAAATCTCATCTCATCCCATCCCAGCCATGGGCAGGGACACCTTCCACCAGCCCAGGTTGCTCCAAGCCCCATCCAACCTGGCCTGGAACACTCCCAGGGATGGAGCAGCCACAGCTTCTCTGTGCCAGTGCCTCAGCACCTCACAGGGAGGAATTTCTTCCCAATATCCCATCTGTCCCTGCCCTCTGGCAGGGGGAAGCCATTCCCCCTTGGATAAAGATCAGTGCTGCATTGAGTTTAAACTCCTGTCAGTGCTTAGGCCAAACAGGGCTGTTGCACTGAGTAGCACTGAGCAGAGCTGTTCTCCCAGACCAAAGCTTTCCTGGTGTTATCTTGAATGCTGGACCATACCCTTGGAGCAAAGACACTGCACATCCAAGCATGTAATTTCCAGTATTTTCCCTAAAATGATATTTGTTTTGACATTGACTCATTTAAGTTGACATAGTCAAAATCTTGATCTAATACATCTCTGCCTGAAAATTAATCATGTTTATAATATTCTGAGAATTAATAACACCCATTGCTCAAGTCATTAACTTAAAAAAGGAGCTTCCAAAATCTGTTCTGTGCAGTAGGAGACCACAAAGAAATGAATGTTTGATAAAATAATCCAAGTAGCAGTTTAACAAGCGTGAACTCGAATGTGGCTGCAATAACACAGAACTATTGTTTAAGGGTTGGCATCAGGTTGATGAGGTGCTTATTTCAGCTACAAAGCATGCACACACATGCATAATGAACTGCAGGATGAATTATTAATGTGTTGCTTATTTAGCCTCATCTGTCTAGAAGATAATGTATCCTAACTCTAATGAGTGATTGGGTTTGTACATAATTACAGGAGCAGCAGCATCTAGGAAATTTGTTCTTTCAAAGAAGGAGTTCTAAAAATAAAATCCTCACACAAACTCAGGGGTTGCTTCAGTTTATCAACATCAACCCTAGCAGCAGTGAGAATATCAATAAATTCAAAGGGACAGAATCATTATTAACATCATAATTTTACACAAAGTGTTTTACTTAATCATTCATTACAGATCATGTGCTGGAAAAACATTTGTCTCTTGGTTTCCTTCTTTTTCTGTTTTCCTGGGAGACTGCAGTCTTGTAGTTAACTCTTCAGGAGATAAACCCCACAGAAATGCAGAAAGCAGAGAAAATAAAGGATACAATGACAATTTATGTTAATTCTGACAGAATTTTAATTAAAAAAAGTTGCTAGTTGATTACTTTTCATTTCTAAAACTTGGACTACTGGGACTAATCATATCTAATTTACTTCTCTCCAACCAAAAGTGGTTGCTTGACAAGAACAATAGATCAAGAGCTCATTAACCTCTAAATTACAGCTCCATGACATTTTTGGAATGGTGCTGCATTCCTCCTCTATGTATGGCAAAAAGGGAGTTGTGAATCTTCTGTCCAGAGGTGTCAAACAGCTTCTGGTTTGTATCTCTATGTGTGTGGATACAGAGACAAGTGTGTCTTAGGCTCTGATTTTAGAAAAGTCCTTTCTTCCCTTTTTTTGGAATCAAGGAATGGGTTTGAAGGACCTTAAAGCTCATCCAGTTCCACTCCCTGCCATGGGCAAGGACATCTTCCACCAGCCCAGGCTGCTCCAAGCCCCATCCAACCTGGCCTGGAACACTCCCAGGGATGGGATTGTTTCACCCTCAGGTCTGTGCAGGCAAGTACAAAGTTGGGGTAGAACTCCAGTGTTCTGACTCCTGATCCCAAGGCAGCACTCAGGAGCTGAAGCTCAGATTTCCTCTGGACTGCTTTTAAATTACTCCTAGAGTCAGGGCAGAGCTTCACCTCCATCCTTTCTCTCGCAACATAGAAATTACCACGAGTTTTACAACTAGAAAACTACCTGAGATATTTAGAAGGGAGTTATTACCACAAATCAATATTCCTGAGTGCAAAGGATCAATCATCAGGTGCCCAAAACCGTCTAGAAATGCTGATTTCTAGTGTGATTTTACCCATTACTTTATTGACCTTAGAAAACCCAAAAGTAGCAGTTTAAAATCCAAAAGGAACAGATTCAGCTTCTCTAGAACAGCAATCTAGGACAGATTTTAAATTTTTGGTGGTTTACATTAATGATTTTATTTGTGAACTTATCACTGCTTACAGTTTTTGTCCTCTCATGCTGAATCCTTTGGCACTGGATTTGCTTTGAACCAAGAGGTGCTCCAAGGCAGCTGGAGCCACAGTCCAGATTTCCATCTGTCAGGTACAATGCGAGCTGAGTCAGGGCCAGCTGGTCACTATAGCAAAGGTCAAGGTCTGTTGCCCACACCTAAGAGAAACACAAACAGGTCCATTAGAGTAAATCAAAAAGAAGAATAAGAAGGGTAAAACTCAGCAGTTGTGAAGGAACA